TCTCTCTCTCTCTCTCTGTCTCTCTCTCTCTCTCTCTCTGTCGGTCCGTCCGTCCGTCCGTCCGTCTGTCTCCGTCTGTCTCCGTCTGTCTGTCTCTGTCTCTCCCCCTACTGTGGCTCTCAAACCTTGCGTTGTTCCACGGTTTGAACATTAACATGGTCTGTAAGAACACCATGAGAATGAGAATCCATGAAATGTTATATAATGTGAGCAAGCAAGATGATGAAGGTTGCCTACTTTGTCGTGTTGCTTTGGCGACAAACGTCTGTTTAATTCGCCCGACACTTGACACGGAGAACTGCTGCGAAAATACTGGATCGTAAGACCATCGAAACCAATCACTCCGTGGATGTAGGATGATGAAGTAAAATGCAAACCTTGGGTGGCCCTTGAATTTCCAAACGCAAGTTCACTCCCAAACCATCCAGCACGCGCACCTTCATCAAGCCAACGCCCAGCACCCGTGTGCGGACCAGCCCATCCTCCACATGTTCGGTGAAGCTGGGACCTCGATCTGAAGGCGGCCCATCCCCGCAGCATCGGGGGGGGGTTCGAGTTTTGAAACATAGGGGGACAACTCCTCGGGATGATGAATCCCTGGCTGTCCATGGGTGCGGAAAAATAAACAAAAAAAATGAGAGCCAAGGATCAAGCCTCGCTGCACCTGATGGCATGGATGTTCTGCTGAGAGGTCCCAGACCTGCAGCCCACAATCACGTTTGGGGGGCTAGAGACTTGGACCGGGCTTGTGCCAGCGAATGGGACAACTTCCAAGAATAGTTCGTTAATCTAAACCGATACATCTATATATAAACCTTTCTAAACCGAAAAATCTAAGAGCTGCACCATGGTAGCATCTACATGCATCTACTTTCACTCCAGCAAAAAACATCTTTGTGCAATGGACAGCCCAAAAAAATAGATATACATAAGGGCTTGCTTGTCCACGTTTGACTTCATCATTTGATTGGCCCTTGATCCCGTGTTGCTACTCCCAAATGTCCAGTATCTAGTATCCCAAAACATCTTTAGGAACTAGATTCTTAAGGCTCAGGCCTCCTCGTAGAAGCCTGAGCCCTTCCGCGTCCAACACTGAGAAGCTACTCGAGGTTAGTAGCTTACTTCCTTAGCCTACTAGCTTACTCATTATGGCCTATCCCCCCGCCCCTGACCGCCCCTGGGCCAAAAATTTGAGGGAACCATGGGAAACCGATACCACTTTTGGTCTTGCCAATTTGAGCCCTCTGCGACACACCTGCGCACAGCTCGGCTCCACACGCCCAGACATGGTGCCGGAGCGGTGGTCGACCTACCAACGTGCACCCGCGACGTGGGCAGGCATCTTGTTCTTCGACTTTAAAGAACCCTTCGCATGGTCGATGTGGTGTCGAAAGTTTGGCGAAACTTAAATTTTATGGGACTCTGTATGTTTCCTTTCCTTCTGTCTTCCCTCTTCTTTGAAAAGTTCTTGCTGGTCTCAAGTCTCAAGCTCGAACGCTCAAGGAGTGTTTAAGTTTATGTTGTCTACTATGCTGGTGGGTAAAGTCATCATGTGCCTGGTAGAGATCAATAGTCCCACAAGCCCTGTTAAGTGCGTGTAGCCTTTGGGAGGAGCAACAGTTTGGGTGCGCGGATGCCTCTTTTGGGGCTCCCATTTTCCAGATGCACACCTCTATAGGTTTGAGAAGCGGGGAAGACATGAGATTTGGAGCACAAATTCAAAGTCTTGCAGGATCAAAGTGACCCTGATGACAAGAAATGCCGGTGTGCAGCTCAGGCACACAAGGCTGCCTTCGGTTTCGCCCTGTTTCCACCGACTTTGTCGCAGGGGTCAAGTTCCAGGCTAGCTCCAGTTGCTAAGGGCCTGGCCTACTACCAGCTTGGAAGCTCCAAAGCACGGCGGTGCTAGTATTTTTTTCAGATACTAACCTAATTCAAGTCCTTATTACTCGTTGGGGTCTCTATTGCCAGCAAAGGGTCGTGCATCATCGAAAGATGGATCTTTCCCTGTCGAGCCTCCTGGACAAGGACGCCTGTGCCAAAACGGGGTTGTTGACAGAAAATGAAACAGCCTGGAAGAGATTCCTAAGGGAATATAATATGCGAAACCCCGATGGGTATCCTCCAAGTATATAGATAACTGCACCCCAGGAAAGCCTTGTTAAAGAGGGCCTTATTAAAGGTGCCCTTACCTTCTTATTTCCTCATTTATTTGTACCAAGCTTCCCTGAAGTACCCTTGTGCTTCCTCCCCAAGGGTGCAAATCGAGATATGAAAAAAAGTCGGAAGCCAAGAACTGGGGCATCCTCCCATTCCATTCGCCCTCCCATTCCCCGGTGCTGTTTGGTGACTTCACCGCCTCTGAAGCATCCCGCTTCTCCTTGACACCCAGCGACACCCGACACACATCTAACGAGACCCAGTCCATCATGTCTAACTGAAGTCCGATGACATCGAAATGAGAATTGACCAGGGGAGAAATGAGAATTGCTCGGCCCGGTGAGTGAATTGCTCGGCAGAAGTAGGTCAGCAACATGATAGGGCATTGAGACGTTCCTCCAGGGTGTTGACGTTCAAAATCGATCCACCCTCTTCCCCGATGCGTGACACCTTCCCAAAACCTTGGGAAACGAGAGCTCACACCGACCACGACCGCGACCTTCGGTCCAAGGAGCGAAGGCTCGACCCCGCCACCAACGGCCATCAAACAAGATGGAGCTGTGGACCTCGGACCGGTATGACACAAGGAGTGTCCGTCTTCTTTATGAACCAAAAGGGAAATAAATGGAAATAGTATGTATGACATAACATAGTCTGTTAATGTAAGTTAAACATATAGTTAAACAATGTTTCAACATGTCTTCTGGATTCCTCTGGATAAATTCTATGGCTTGCATGCCATAGAGGCACCCTTCGACCCGAACCATGGTCCGCCCTTCGCAGCCGTGTCTTTCTGCCCGAGGCTATGTCATGATGCGTCTGTCGGTGCTGCCAACCGAGTCTATGGATGTGAGTGGTGGATACCGATTGAATATCTGCGGGTCTGTGGTGGCATACTCTATAGGGGTATGTGGATGGGATAATGTTCTTCGAACTCCGATGGGATCTCTTCCACGCGGAGAATCTCAATGAGCATGGTCGCAGTAAAACTCTCACCTTGCCTGCAACAGAAATTCGTCCGGATGCATGGCCCACGGCCTTGGTGAGAAGAGGATGTGTGAGCAGAGGATGTGTGATCCTTCCAAGGCTGTTTCCGGATGTCATTTCGATGCCACCCACATCTATCTATACATCTCTATCGCTGGAATTGGCATCCAGGGTTCACCTTCAAAGGAAAGATCCTTCCAGGTGTCCCTGCGAAAGCCGATACCTGTGCCGTATAAAATCCCAACCATGCATTGCTCAATCTGGGCCCTGCTGTCTTGCTTTCTTCCAGCCCCAGAAAAAGAACTTATTATGACAAGATGCCCGATTTAAGCACCTTCTCCTCCCTGATAGATGCTTACTGATCTATCATGGTCACAAATCCATATTCTCTCTCCAAATATTGAAACAAGTGTTGCCGAATCCCAGTGAAGTTAATGACAGCGCGGGCAACTTGGCCTGCTATTTCGCCGCCGGCCGGCCGGCCACGCAGGCAACTAGCGGCCGACCGGCCGGCTCATCTGCCAGCGGCCCGCCGGCTCACCGGCCAGCCGGCGTCGTTGTCATTCGCCCGCCGGGTATGGTGGCAGCAATAGTAGTAGTACTACTACTACTACTATTACTACTACTACTAGTAGTTATTGGCCCGCCGGCCGACGCCGTGATTATTGGCCGGCTGGCCGGCCGGCCGGCCGACGCCGTGTTTTTTGGCCGGCCGACCGGCCGGCCGGCTGGCTGATCGAGAAATAGCGGGCCGCGACAAGCTCGCAATGGAAGTTACAGTAAAATAAACACACCGCCAATATAAACTGAAAGCTACCGGTGTAAGATAATGCAGCGCTTTGCGGATCCCCCAACTTTCCGTGAAAGCACATGATTTGGGGTCCAGATCCAGCCTGCGCAAAAAAATACAGGAGATACCTCTTGTGCTGTGAATCTCGGACTGTTCATCCTTTTTCCCGGTCAGATTCGCGGTCGCGACCCAACACCGGGATCGCCCACGCCAGGTGCGGCCAGAAGAAAAGGAAGGCCAAGTGCAAAGCCTTCCAAAAGCGCTGCCGTGTGACACCAGGAGATCAAGAACGCTACTAGGAGCAAGGACGTACTACTTGGAGCAAGGACGTACTACTAGGAGCAAGGACGCTACTAGGAGCAAAGGGCATCGCTACTAGGAGCGATCGGACGCTACTAGGAGCAAAGAACCGTGAGATCACATGCATCCATGGATGACGGCCTGCACTTCGTCCATGCTGCGGGGGGCCTGAAGCCTGCGTGGACACCGGAGTCACTTGGAGGTGGACAAAGGCAAGGACCCCAGCGTACCAGGAAGGCCATTAGTTGGGACTATGGTACTACGATCCTGCTGTGGATTATTGGTATAGGTTGATTGCTCAGGATGCAGTTCAGCATGTGATTCTCGAAGTACGATGTCCAAACATTTGCTACATTGCTTTACAATCCCACAGACACTTGCTGCTAAATCTTGCTCCAGTGAGCAAAATTCGATAGACATTGGATGATTTGCGGTACATTTCCCCACACTTGCAAGTAGATATTGTCTGAATGAGAAGCATGAACATTGGATGGCATCTGCCACACTACTTGCCAGGAAATCGTGTCTCACACTTCATTCATGGCGTTTACTACAGTCCCCCACTGTCTCTACAAAACTTGTTTCAGTGGCGAAGAAAGACATTGGACGACATTTACTACATTACAGCACACCTTTTGCTAAATCTAAATGTGCAACATTACTCTCGTCTTTCTGCTATTTGTGCGACAAGACTCTACACTTTCTGCGAAATGGTATGAAATTGTTGTTTCAATGCGGAGAATGGTTTTCTCCGCTCTCTCACGCCTCTCCTCGATCGACACAGCCAGCCAGAGGTGACCTCACGTACTCTCAGAAGAATCAAGTGTGTGGATACCCAACAGGACCCAACAATGGTTAAAACGGGTTTTAACAGAAATTCAGAAAACACCCTTTGCGTAATCGAATGAAGGCAAACTGGATGGTGAAATCTAGAATAAGCAGCAGTGGCATGGGCCATGTGTTGATAACCTTGACGAGATAGCCATCGAGTTGCCTGATTGCTCTTCAACAGGCAAGTTTATCGGCTTTTTCTAAGATGCTTCTTATTCGTTGCACACATCAGTGGGGCTGTGGGCGCCCCAGCGCGATTTCCAGGCTGGCCGTGGACCACTCCCATGCGCGGGAAGGGTGATTCAGAACCAGCTCACCTTGGGCGATGTTTCGAACCTCTGGCACTGACCTCCAACCTAAGAGCGGCCTCCAACCCCATATCGATGAAGGTTTAGAGTGGTTTTATAGATTCCTTTTTAGATCCTTTTAGGATGTCTCCAAGGTATCTGGTCTTCATATTACGAAGGGCCCTTTGACGTCAGCCGTTCTTGCACTGATCATCCCGCGCCGTCTGCGCTTCAGAATCCCTTGGTTGGTTGCAAATGGACGCTCGGCCCTTGCAGTTCTAAGAAGCTACTGTCGACCTGGTGCCCAGTGGAAGTCATCGGAGATTTTTGGAAGTGCTCAGTGCGACATGTGTCCCAGGAACAAAGAGCCTCACTTAACACTCGCCGCGGTGGCTATTCTCAATGAGGCTTTAACCTCTTGAGTTGTATGGGAAATCCTTCACGGCCTGAGTCAACAAGCTGCATGCATGGCCAGCCACTCCAGGCTAGACAAGAGTAGTGATTATGAGGTGCTGAAAAATGGGAAAGAAAGTCGTGGAAACAAGTCCTTTCTCCCAGAAGAGTTTGTTTTTTCAAACTTCATCAATAAGACATACTGGTCTACATTTGAAGTTCTCTCAGACATGTGGTGTTTTCTTGCAACCAATGGCCCCCACTCTGTTGCGTCCTGAGAGCCCTCACGGGCTGAACAAACCAAGCCCAAAGCCACCACCTGAGTGAACCAAAAATTGACCCATCAGGACTTGATACAGCACGGATGGCGAGAAGAAGGGGCATAGCGTCATAATGGCATCATGTGCAGTAGTGGCAAAATTGCTTTAAACTGCCTTGAATGGAACAATACTGTTCCGAACAATTGAACAGTTTGGTTGAAACAATTCAACCCACTGCTTGATTCTTCAACACCACCAATCAAGCGAAATGACAAGTCCTCCCAAAAGACTGTTCACTCGCAGTTCCTCCCAATGTCATTTCACTGCCTGTCTACCTCTATGCATCCATTAAAATGTATATACAGTATATATATATATATGTGTGTGTACAGTATATATATATATACTGTAGATCTCAGTGATCTTCTTCACCCCTCAAAGCGTCCGGAATGCGGGACACCAACTCCATGGGTCGCTGTGCTCACGACGGTCGCTGACCACCACCCGAAGAACACCACACCCCCTTTTTTTCCGATGGTCGCGCACGTGGGCTGCCGTTGGCCTTTGCAATCGGATGCCTGGGAAAAGAGGGATTTTGGATGTGGTGGTGAAGAGCAAGTAAGGGAAGATGTGTGACATCCAATGTGTTTGCCCCAAATGCAGAAGGGGGTGCCTTACGTTGCCTTGATGACTTTGCAATCGGAAGGGCTTGTACAGGATAGGTCATCCATCAAAAAGGTCTGGTATATGTTTCTTGGAGTCTTAAGCAGAGGATTTGACATCCATCTGTGGGCCATTCACTTCTTTGCAGAGGGTCCAATAAAATGTGGTCTCGCATCATTGCAACTGCTCTGATCTCTGTGCTCCAAGCATTGCCGACCGTCTGGTCCTCTGTCTTTTAGGCTTCGCCAACTTTGGCAGCACAGGAGACCGATGGAGACCATGTATCATGGACATGACGCAATCTTGTGGATGGGATAAGTGGCAGAATCGATCAATTTTGGTTGATCACATTCATGCTGGACCGCTTGAGAACGAGACGACCGGATACCCCAACCTTGCTGGCTTAGTCTTCCTCCTCCAAAACGCACAAGCCAGATGTCCACGACTGTTCTTAATTATGCATCCAATACTGCATCCAGCCTAAGTCTGTGAATGTTTACTGAAGCTTCCCGGACTTTTCAGGATATCTATGGTAAAAATCTCAGGAAAGCATCCACCAGTCTCCATCAGCTGTCTAGTCTCTTTGTCAGTGTCAAGCCTTGGAGCTTCGCATACCTAGTGTATAGTGACTTCAAACTTGAAAATGGATGCACTGCATCTCGGATTTTCTCAGTGCTTCCTCAACTACTGTCCATAACGACGCAAGCCCTCTCAGATGCGGGATACAAGGTCTTCCACCATGTCCATCGTTGTCCATCCGATCCATCTGCTCCTCGAAGTCCAAGGTCGACGAGGAGCCCATCGGTGCCAAGGCGCCCCGGAGCAACGTCCGGGGCGAGGCCACGTCCTTTGAGGGGACGGATCAGTCCGATTTCGGACGCAAAGGCCAGACATGTCTCCTTTAATTTGAGTGTTCGATGGTTTTCATTCGAGGCAATTCAGGAAACCCTGTCTGTGGTGGGAGTGGCTCTCCTCATCATCTGCCAGTGACACGTGCCAAAGAAGCTGATCATTCGCAAGCTCCAGGGCTGCATCAATCTTGCGGTGCCTGATGGCACTTTCTCGGGGAGCGAAGGACCTTGCGGAATTCACCCTGAACTTGCCTGGAATGGCAACTGCCAAGCTCGTTCAATAGACTCAGTGTGAACACTAGGATCTGTTACATTATATAATTTCTCAGCTTTCAATGTCATAAATTTGCATGTGGCTCTCGGCGAAAACACTTGACAAAAGTTGCAGGAGAGAACACTCAGAAGAAGATCCTTCGAAAGTGACGGCAGAATAATTAGAATCTCACCGGCACAAGCCACATAGTGACACATTATATGACACTGGATTTCTCCATGGATATTATCCCATGTTCAGTTCCAGCCTGAAGCCTTTCGCTTGGCGAGGGGCATCAGGGACTTCGGTCTCAGGAGCACATCGGCCGGCGTCGACGGTGGAGGGAGGACGTCGACGGCCAAGAGCCTGGAAAGTTGCAATAATATCCTCCAATCCAAGAGCGATGGCCTCCAACTTACTAGCGAAAGAAGCAATCTTATCGAACGTGATCGAGCATCAAACAGAAGTGCCGATCGGAATTTGTGAATGATCTATCAAAAACACATGAAAGCCCTCTGATCCGCACCTGATCAGGAGGGAGATAGTAGCAACAGCGTTGTCATGTCGGACACGCTGGTCTTTGTTCAGCATTTATGTCTAGTTGAGCCAACTGTGAAAAAACACCGAAAAATACTAGTATCCATCCAGTCGTGCATTGACAGGGCTGTGCCTCAAGTACTCAATAGTTGCATGAGAGATTTGGCAGCACAAATTGCGCAAGGAAAATTTGAACATCTCCGAATTCAGACCACAGTATTTGATGTGGGTTTTCTTGCCTGGCGACTTGCAAAATCATCCCTCTTCGCTTTTTGTCCTGCGCAGACCCCATAGGGCCTTCTTGGGCGACAAGCTGACAGCCTGCTGGAGAGCGCTCATCTGCTCGGCCAGATCCTGCGAAGCGTAGATTGAAACATGGGGAAGGAAACATGTCCTTGGAACAAGTGCCTTACTAGTAGTAACAAGTGCCTTACTAGTAGTAACAAGAAGCTATTGGAAACAATAAAGAGAATTTAATTTAGAGTTGGAACATGTAACGGTTTCACTTGCAGTCAGACGTGCTGCTAATGTTGCGCCGAGAATGACCAAGGGGCAGGAATCCCCTGGTTCACACACCACCAAAGGGGACCTGGACACCCTGGGACTTGGCTGACAATCTTGAGATCTTTTTGTGGATCTATTCCAATGCTTGCCATGCTAGTTTGTTTGGGCACTTGAGTCTAGTAGTCCAGTGTAGAGTCTAAAAGGTTCTGCCAGGTACAGCCTATACTTCATTCAAACAAAAGTTTACCCTTGTTAGCCTTCTTACAAAACACTCTGAGATCAGCGGCGGATCGAATTAACAAGTCTGATTTTCGTGGCAGGTATGGGACGGTCAATTATCACACCGATTTGAATGTATAACAATAAAAGGCTTTCCGGGGTGACAAATGACCGCCCACACCTTCCCTTGTCTCATGGTGTAGGATTCTACGGGGATAGGGTTGTCATGAGTTTCAACGTCAACAAGCGCAACTTTCATCTGGCCAGTGTATGCGAACATCAATTATCATTCTGACGTCCAGTCGTGTCATCAGTTTTCGGCATGAAGACGGCAATGAAAGTTCTGAACATCTCACAAAAGTAACATGAAGTCTCTCCCACTGTTTGCAGGGTGTGTTTGTGTTTTGCGCCATCCGTTCCGACCCCTTTGACATGAGTCGTTTCCACCCCGGACAAAGAAGTCCCATCTCGCTCGATCACGTGAGGCATGTGATGTGAAGTGCCCTAAAACAGCAGCCTATGATGTGAATGTCCATGTTTCAGGTCGCTCGGTTCTCCCGGCCTGGGTGTCTCATCTTCATCTTCCATCACACCCCTCTCATCTTCCCCCCTCCCCCAGTCCCGGTCTGGTCCCCCCTCTCGCCAGTCGTCCTGCACTCTGCGGTGCGTGGCAGAGACCACCTCCGCCAGCTCGTTCCATGGTTTCGAGGCCAAGGCAGCTGCCACCGACTGGGTCGACGCGGTGAGAACGTTCGAACCGAGTCGTTGGTCGGACACCGGGGACACCCTATCCGTCCCTTCTTGTGTATGTTTGGTTTGTCCGTTTGTCATAGTCTTCCACACCCAAAGGGAATGAGATCAAGACCAACCAGCATGATTTTAGTAATTCTACATTTCATCATTCTATCATAAGAATGTGGAGTTGCCTGCTGGCGACATCGCAGCATGTCAGAACGTTCACAACCCCAAGTCTATGAACGTAGTCATACGTCGTCGACCTAGCGGTATTGCCCAATTTTCATGAATTATCCCTAGTGAGTTTCTCTTGAAATCCCAAACCCTGGCTCACGGCTCACCGGCTTTTGGGGGGGTCCGGGGGTCTGTACTACCACCAGTTTCATGGCACAAAACGTGGGCTTCCCATCTTTGTGCAATGTGTCCAGGTCTTTGGAGAGGCTTCCCATCTTCAAATGTGTCATTTACAAGGGGGGAAATACGGGAAATAGATCCCCCAAATACGGAGGGGCTTGTCCATGTTTCTTTTGGTGCTCCGCCACCGGGTCAAGAACCGAACGATGTGGCCTCCACCCCACGTGCAGCTTGCGCCACAGCACGGAGCAGCTCGGTGCTCGCCACCTGGACGGGTTGGTCTCTCAAAAGCAAATCCATGTATGTTTTATGTGCTAGTGCTTATGTGTATGATTTATATATATATATGTACGATAGGTATTTTGTTTTAAACTACCCCCCTGCAGCCCTGAAAAATGATCTTGAGACCACAAATGATGCCCCTACCCCATACCCTGCCCTGAATCCAATTCATAATGGTTCACATGTCTCTTCCGATTTTGGTAGATACTGTAACTTATATGAACCCATGTCGACATGATGTTGAGATTGGGTTCCAAGCACTGCCAAATACCACGTGATAGATAAGAACTCCAAATAATGCGTCATTATGCATGACAAAAGTCCTTCCGCTCTTGTTGCAGAACAGCCTTTTAAAGAAATATGCCCTTTATAAGAGCTTCGCTGAATATGAGCTGCACTTGTCGATAGAAGTATGGTGCAGGTTGAAGCACTTGAAACAGCCAATGTTCTTGCGTTGTTGTGCTTAGCAATCACATTGTTCTTGCACCAGAAAAGGCTTGAACTCCCAAGCTAATTCTCTGTTTATTTAGTTGTTTTCCGGGTAGTGTATTATATGTATGATTCCTTCTTTCCCAACTCTTCCAAGTCTTGATGTGTTTGCCTCTTCCTGAATAAGCTTTTGCTATCAATACGACTTATGTTAATTCGTTCCATTTGCACA